CAGTTAATAGAACCCGAAGTTTTATTACCTGTGTAGGATTTGAGTTTCTCACAGCGAGCTCTGTCTTCTGGGATATATAGCGTTATGTAGTCGGTTGAAAGTCAACTGATGCTTCGGAGAAACATGTGTCCTCCATCTACCGCCCTGAGAATGGAGGCATCATGTTCCTCCAAGCCGTCGGTTGCCTACAGACTAGACGGCGTTATATCCTGGGAAACAACTTTTAATTGCAGTGTTTACAAGGGCCCGCCTAAACTACCTGAAACCAGCCCCCCCCCCCAAAAAAACCGTATCCAGAAGCTTATTACTTACTCACTTACTCAAGGAGCTGAGCCCTTCTGGAGGAGCCGCCAATTCTGCAGCTACTCAAGAATTTCCCAGCATTTTATGAAACCAGAAGGTTCATTACCGTGTTCACAAGAGCCCTCCACTGGTCCCTATCCTGAGCCAGATCAATCCATACCATCCCATCCTATCTCTCTAAGATCCATTTTAATTTTGTCCACCCACCTACACCTTGGTCTTCCCTGTGGTGTCTTTCCTTCTGGCTTCCCCACCAATATCCTGTACACATTCCTCGTCTCTCCCACTCGTGCTATATGACCTGCCCACCTCATCATCCTTGACTTGATAATTCTAATTATACTTGCAGAAGAGTACAAGTTATGAAGCCCCTCATTGTGCAGTTTTCTCCAACCTCCTGTCACTTCATCTCTGTTCGGTCCAAATATTCTCCTCAGAACCCTGTTCTCAAACACCCTCAGTCTATGTTCCTCCCTTAATGTCAGAGACCAAGTTTCACACCCATACAGAACCACAGGCAAAATTATAGTTCTGTATATTCTAATTTTTATATTTTTGGACAGCAGACGAGAAGACAAAAGGTTCTGGACTGAATGTTAGCAAGCATTACCCGAGTTCAATCTCCTCTTAATTTCCTCCTGAATCAGGTTTCGATCTGTTATCGTTGATCCCAAATATCTGAACTGTGCCACATTTTCAAAACATCTGTTTCCTATCTTTATATCATGATTTTGCCCTGCATTTTGGTGACGAGACAGTAACATATACTTAGTTTTCTCTGTGTTTTCTTCTAGACCAACCTCTTTACTTGCGTCAATTAAAGTTTCTGTGTTTCTCTTTATGGTATCTGTGTTATTACCCAGTCGATTCACATCACCAGCATAGACTAACAGCTGATGTGTCCCGTTTAATTTCAGTCCCACCTGGTTTCCCTGGACCTTCCTAATGGCATATTCTAAGGCAATGCTGAAAAGGAGTGGCGATAAAGCATCTCCTTGTTTTAGACCATTCTGGATAGGAATTTTATCAGACAAATGTTTACCTACACGGACTTTACTATACGTTTCGTTTAAACACATTTTAATCAACCTAACTAGTTTCAAGTGTATCCCAAACTCTATTAGAATATTGTACAATACTTCCCTCCTAACTGAATCGTAGGCTTTCTTGAAGTCAACCCTTCTATCTGTGCCTCTCACAAATGTTCTTTTCCGACCAAAATTTTGTACGTGTTTCTCCTTTCTCTCATGTGTGCTCCCCCACCCCACCCTTCCTACTTTCACCGTAATAATATTCATCGACGGGCACAAATTTTTAAGGTCCTCACCGCCTATTTTTTTTAATTTTCCTATGACTCTCTGTTTTGGCCGAAGGGGTGTATTTTATGACCCTGTCAATAGAGCGTCCAATGGTATGAAGAAGAATGGGTGATTAATTGGATAGAACTTGGAAGGAAACGGTCGTGACTAAGTCGAGGAAGTAGCCCGGAATTTGCCTGGAGAGACTAAGGAATATCTTAGATAGTGTATACAGTGTTCCGGCCGAGATTCCAACCGAGCTCCTCCCGTATGCGAATCTGGAGCGTTATCAGTACGCCCAACCGGTCCGTCCCCCTCTCTGGTGCCTGTCTGTGGCTCTACAGCCCTTTGTTGCACCTCGGCCGCTTTTCAGTTTCTTAATCCTATACACCAGCCGTGTCAAACATGCGGCCCCCATAGCCACAAAGTGCGGCCCCTCAACTTTTAGAGCTAATTGATATTAAAATTTTAGTAGAAATATTTTTTGTAAAGACAATTTTCCAACAGACCAGAAGACAAGAAGTCTCATGCAGACATAAATTAGCTGGCTACAGGAAAAGTGTTTCGAGAATTGCATAAGGGTTTGTCCAACTAACGGTTTGTAAAGTTCGTGGAGGACAAACTATTGTATTTCAGAGGTTAATGCACTGAAATCCGCAGAGCCTCACCACCCCAAGTATTTCCAAGAATCCCTTTTGGAGGCGTAGTAAGAATGCAAGGAGGGTAGCAACTGACAGAGAAGTGCAAGGGATTTCTACCTTCAAAACTAGCTTGCATCCCCCAGTCATTGTCTAATGGGCTGCTAGCAAACTTTCACATTTATGACCATTGAGACAAGATACACCCTCCTGCTAGTCCGGTAGTCTCTTGTACATTGTCATTCAGTTCATTTTCATACAGCGACAGGTGCTGATGTTACATTGTGATGAACGTATAAAGGTTATAATTAAACATTGAATTATGAACTACGAGTTTTCTTGTATATGTACAGTAACTTTTGAAGGACAATGTCGCTTTCAAAAAATTCAAGTAGCAAAAAAAGAACTATTGAAAGTGAGCGCCATGTTTTTCAAGGAAAATGGGAAATCGCTTATTTCTGTTGTGAAATAGAAGGTATAATAACATGTTTGATTTGTGGGCAAAATATAAGTATTCCACTTTACGTAATTATATTGAAATTATTCCTAAATAATACATAGAATTAAATTTCCTTATATCAAAATCTAATGTATATTTCTATTTTGAAGTGTGGCCCTGGACTATTATTTATAGGGTTGAGGTGGCCCTCTGTACAAGTTGAGCTTGACATGCCTCCTATACACAGTCGGTAGAACTTTCTGGACGGGGGATCAGCCCTTCGCAAGGCCGCTACCTACACGCAGGACAGCACAAACACAGAATAAACACACAGACATTCATGCCTCGAATGGGATTCGAACCCACGATCCTAGTATTTGAGAGGGTGAAGACAATCCATGCCTTAGACCGCGTGGCCACTGTGATCGGTTCCTTTCTCTTAGACCGGAATATTCTCAGCACACTCTTCTCCTGTCTGAATGGTAGCAAACTTTCCAGGAATTTAAACCTTGATAAGACATTTGTGTATAGAGTATATTTTTGGATTTAATTTGACTTTCAGTATAGTGGCTTTGCTTGTAGAACCAGAATGTTCAACACCGCTAATTGGACACGGTCCGAAGTCAGTCCTAAATACCTTCACCTTCATAGTCTATTTCTGAAAAATCCAAATTAATGTTATCGTCGCATCTCCTCTATATAGGGCGTTATCGTGTATGAATGCATCATGAATCGACTTCTAATTGTAACAGATGGCGTGATGCCGTTTATATGTTTAAATTGAGGTTACGTTCGCGCTTTGTGACTCCGTGGTATTATGGGCGCGCCGCGAGTTGACGCGTGGACTGATGTTTTCAGGATAGGGTGTAGCGTAAACTTGTGCTCAGCTCTTCTGTCCATCCTCGGTGACTCCTCGTGGCGTGCCCATATGATGTGTGTATCTGTCTCTGTTACTTCTTAATAAATGAATATATTCGTGAGATACGGCACGCGGGGTGGGCTCTGGCGATGCTCTGACGACACCAGCACCTCGTTATGTTGCAGTCTACTTTCACAAACAAAGACTCTGGAGATGGAGCCATAGCTGTGTACCCGTCACATCGGACATAAACGAATTTCCAACATAACTGTGACTGGAGGCGAGGTCGAATGCCTCCACCGTAGTCCTGCAAGTCTCAGAAAGCAACGAAAAGGGAACCCGGCTCTAGGGAGTGTAACCGGGCCACCCTATTCCTGGGGAATGTAAATACAGGGACCTGGCCCTTAAGGTTGGGGGAAGTCTGAAATTTGAGACAGTAAAATATGTCACCAGTCCCGCGAGCGTCGTACCTGAGAATGACTGCGCTGGTTAGGGTCCGGCAGCAATTCTAAACTACAGACCCGTCCTCTCGCCAATGAGGATGTTACATAAGGATCACGGGAGTCGGTATTTAGATACTGTCTTCAGCCAAATGAATCCATTTCACAGCCACACAACCCATTTATCCAATGTCAGTATTAACTTTTCCGTAATCATTCATTTCCGCCACCGACAGATTATTCAAGCCAGATTCCTATTTAAAATATTGATATCAGCTTTTCACTTCCCGTCTTCGAGGTTTGTCGCGGTTTTTACGCAGCGTATTCACTGCATTGATTGAACTGATTGATTTTTAGTGCAAAATTCAAACGTTCGCATTGTGATTGAAATATTCTGATGACCGTCGACACAACTAATTAATAGAAGTGATATTAATAAAGCCTATTACAGTGGCGGCGCGGTCTAAGGCATGAACTGTCTTCGCCCGCTCAAATGCTGGGATCGTGGGTTCAAATCCCACTCGAGGCGTGGATGCCTGTGTGCGTTTATTATGTGTTTGTTTTGTTCTTTGTGTTAGGCAGCGGCCTTGCTACGGGCTGATCCCCCGTCCAAGGAGTCCTACCGACTGTCTTATACTAAGAAACTGAAGTGAAACGAAGCGTTTCACGGTGCCCTATGCTTCAAGTGGGAGCAACATGGATAGAAGAAGAAGGAGGAGGAGGAACAGGAGGAGGAGGACACCAACATGGTCACTTCCCGTGACGCTTTCCAACCAAAACTTTGGTATTAACGCGAATACGGTGGTTTCTAATTAGTGACCCTGAAGGGAACGCGACTTGACAGGAGATGCGTCTGTCTCTTTCGTCTTAGTCCACACTCACAAGAAAGTTCACTGCATAACTCCAACGTACTACATCCATGACTCTACTAGCAGGCTCAGTCCGTGCAACAAGAAGCTTCAAAGCAGCATGCAAGCACAGCTTTCAGTTGCAACCAGGCCCTAGAGCCCTAGAATTCCTCACCTCTTCTCCTGCAGTTAGGGCGGGCGTTGCGGAGCGAGGAATTAGGGATGGGTTTGCCGGCTGGGGTAACGCACCAGCAGTACCCCGTTTCGGCGTGACACTGGACGGGGGCGAATGTGCCGTCCTGCAGACAAGTGGGCACGAACAATAGGGGCTGTCGGTTCCTTCTCGCGTAGACCTGTCCCAAACACAGCTGAACTGCGAGACCAAACATGCATACATGGCGTCAGAGATGGCGACACTTGTAGGGATTGTAAGGGCAGAATACAAAATATAAAGCGTTTATCACAAACAAGGACCGAACGGGTTAGCGTACAGGTAGTACCCTAGACTTGTATTCGGGTTCGAATCTCGGCCAGGTAGTACTGACGCAAATGTTTGATGGTTTTTTTTCAGTCACTCTAGACAAATTCCATGATGGTTCCTCAATTATGCCACTACCGCCTCCTTTCATATCCTTCCCAGTTCATCATTCATCCATTCTCATTCAACGCTATGTAGTCTAGCTACTGACAGATAAAAAAGATAATGTAACGTGTATAGCCAGGCAACTGCGCTATAAACACATTCTCTCTTAAGGTCACGCAACAATAGGACGAATTTTTATAGCTCATTGCTAGGCAACAATCAGCGCGCCAGTGGACTGGAGAAATAGCTATCACGTGATTTATTTTCTGTGTGGTCTACGCTACGCAACAACAGAACTGTGTTTTCTGTGCCTGGTCCGTGCCGAGAGGATATGAGAGAATACGGGAATGCGAACTGACTTCACTTGAGTTCCGAAGTTCCAAGGGAAAGGCAGTGTGGCCAGAAAAAGAATTAGAAAGCTTAGTGCGTGACGTCACATGTGCTATAGTTACAATAACCTTAAGAATGTAAGAACTAATTGTAGTTACGACAAGTGAAGATCCAATAATCTGATTCACCAATCCAAACCCGCGTCTTAGTCACTGAAACACGTGATAATAAAGTTGTCTCTTTGCTTAAGTAATTAAGCATCACGCTATGAAGACGTGTGGGGTAGTAGAGGTAGAGCTCCACCATCATTGCCTCGGCACTGATGGAGATGAATGACCAGCTTCACGCCCTGACCGCTTTATTCCCGTGCCCACTGGACTGGAGGCATAGCCGATCCAGACGCTATAGGAAAGAGCCGGGATTCTAACCCATGCAGTTAAAGTCGTAGCCCGTCGCTATACCGACTGAGCTAGCGCAGTCCCTAAGTCATGGAACTATAATCATAATATCTGGTGTGCAGGTTGTCACTTATTTCCAGAAATCCATATTATGAATTTATAAAAATTTGATTCTGTGTAGTTGAACACCCAGTATCGAGTTTATATAGTTTAGTTATTACGTAGGTCCCCTGTCACCACAGCTGGGCTGGATCCTCAGGCTATGGACAGAGGAGCCCGTCTCCAGTTATGGATGATAGCCGTGAATGTATTAGCAATCAGCTAAAAAAGGGCAGTCCTCCAACTTTGAGGTTGGATGTCGCCTTAATGACGCCTCTCTTTAATATTAAACAACTAGCACTTTATGGAATTGTACTCAGCGATTCGAACTTTGGAACGACTTCAGCAAACGAAACTGGACATGAGATTTTGAAGTTGGAATGAAGACCCAGTCATGATAATATTAAAACTGATCTTAAGGAAATAGGACGTGAAGGTGTGTTTTTGATTCAGTTGGGTCAAGATAGAGACCCGTGACGGTGTCTTGTGCACTTGTTAATGAACCATCGTAGTGCAATTATTGACTATTTGAGCATATCCATCGCCCTGTGTCTTTTTATTTAAAAGCAACATTTTGGAGACTGGATTCTGTCTCCATCCTCAGTTAAAAGCCTGTTCAGTTGGGCCCAATCGATATAGTCCCTACCTCCGGACGATCTTAGTTAATTCATTGACCAGCTGAGCGAATGTTAAGTTTTTAAACAAGGACTCTGTTCCATGGGGTTAGGTTTATTGCGCATTTAAAGTTTTAACCTTACTTGAAGCCCACGAATCAGTCATCACTATTAGATGTGGTCATGAGATGTCAGCACACAAGGCGCTGATGGACCCCCACCCCAACCCCCTGCTGTCGTCCTGTTGCAACACGTGACTCCCACATTCATTTCGCTTAAATTTCACGCACTCAAGCGCGTTTCTTTCAGCGCCATTGCTCTTCTTCAAGACATGTAACAGTTATCTGCAGCGCGACTTCAGTCAACAGCACAACGGAGTGGTTTTCTTCTAACGTTTTTGTTCTTGTGAGTTGTTTTTATAAAATGCATAATATAAACGCATATTGGAAGGTCATGTCTATCCGCTCGCATGTTTCATATCCGAAAGTACTTGGCAGATTTCAAGATGAACCATGCCGGAGCCTAAGGCCGTATCACAGCTCGGGCGGTTAGTCGCCGGCTTCCCACTGCGTGGGTCCCGGTTTCATGTGGGATTCATGGTCGACTAAGAGGCACTGGGGCAGGTTTTCTCAGATTATTTCGGTCTCCCCTGCCAGTTCATTCCACTTATCTATCTTCCGGAGCTGGTAGAATAGACCAATTAGTGGCCGACGTACCAAGTGGGCTCAGTCTCACTCCGTCCCATGGAACAAAAAACAGAGCCTACGCTATTAATTGTCGGGAGAATTTAATTTCAGTCCATATCAGAGAGATACAACTCGTACTTTTCCTTGAAACGCAATAGAATCTTTAGATTTTTTTAAACATACGCCCTATCGTGTAAAAATATACGTGCTGTAAAATGTGGATGTTAATAAGATTTACAGTTTTATTATTTTACTCAGTCCCTATAGGGAAAAATAGGCGCAGCTATCACTTTAATAGGCCGTGGAGGCCCATAGTGTTGTGAGACGTCGAGGCTCCCACATTTTCTAGACAATCGGCTCACAGATGACTGTGAGGTTGTCAGCCTTACCCACTGACCGACCTTTACCCCCAGGAAGATTCCTGTTATTCATTTCTATTAGAGGCTGAGTCGATATCAGGGCCATAGTGAGGCTGGAAGGATTAGGTCCATTGAAGAATCCAGTGACCTCATCGGGAAATGAACTCACGATCTTCCGGCTTGTAACATAGTTCCTCAGCCAACTACGCTACCGCGTGCCCCCTTCAGCCCTTAGAGATAATACATAAAATTAAGCAACGATCACTTTCTTCCACGTGCTTTTCAATTTTCAGACCATTCTATTTGCTGACGCTGTGTAATCTGAGCTACTGATTTCGTTAATAAACCGTAAATAAGCAAATAAAATAAAGTTACAATGAAAATAATGTTCTGCTCTGTGCAACGCCATGTCTGTAGCGTGGCTGGCTTTGCAACAACTGCAGTAAATGAACTCAAGACCAATGAAATATGCAGACTCACAAATAAAGCGTTTGGAACGTTTTGTACTTTCCACTTTACCCTGACATCATGCCTCTAAAGGGTTACCAGGCATCCTTTATGCAGTACAGAGATAGTTGCTGGTTTCAATACGTTGTCCCGTTACCACATGGTTAGCAGGCGTCCCGTACACAGAAAGTCTCCCCCATTTCAATGTCCTTTCCCTTTGTCCCAGAGTTACCTGACATCCTTTGTTCAGTAAAGGTCTATGGAGATGAAAGATTGGTGATGATTGAGTGCTTACACAACTTCCGCAGACATTAAGAACTGAAGAATTCTATTGCAGCAGATTTGATTGACGCGTTGCCAGGCAACAGGTATGTAAACGCTGTCCAACAGGCGACAACAGATGAGGCTGTGTTTTCTATGTAGTCCGCGCAGAGCAGCAGTAAGATCGAGATTATCTATGACCAGTTGCTAGATTACGCAACGGTTCTTACAAAGAAATATGTTTTCTGCATGGTTCGTGCCGCTGATATATAACGAGATTCCCAAAGTAACCAAGGGAATAACAGAGTTAGTTCAAGGGCAGTCACGAGTCAGTCGTAAGCTGGAGGAGTGAGTCCAGAAGAATTTTTAGTTCTGAGGTTCCAGAGTGACTGAAGACGAAATAGCAAGAAGACGTCATGGTGATCTGAATTGCTAGTTTCTGTGTTCAGATCGGTTGCTAGGAGACGACTAGTGGAAATTGAGAATCCTGGTGCGTGTGCAACGGTGAACTGTAAATTGTATAAATCAACGATAGCGCTGTATGAATTTTAATTGAGAGAGAGAGGCTGTAACCTAAGTCCTAATAAATCCAATCATCCGATCAGGAACCCGTTATTTTCGTCACGCGTACCCCCCTACATGTGACACTATCTTCTTGGTTATAACGCCATACAGTTCCTTGAAAGGTTGATTTTCAACGGATTACACAATGTTATATCCAAGAACATAGAACTCTCATGACCACTGGTGTGAGATCCTCAAACCCTACAAGTAAATAGCCATATTTCGTTTTAGAAATCTGCCTTTATGTCCCAGATATTTAAGAGAATTTGTATGTAACGCTGTGTTCTAATCTCATCATTAGGTTCTTAAGGAATCGATAGATAGCCAAGAAAACTCGATTTCACTACATTTATTTAGAATCTGAAATCATTCCGTTTTAATAGCAAAGGATTCAGTTTTTTTTTTCCCTGTAAATTAATGTACACAATTGCCAGTATTGGCGATCAGTGGCCGCGCTGTCTAATACATGAACTGTCCTCACTCGCTCGTACGCTGGGATTGTGGGTTCGAATCCCACTCGAGACATGGATGTCTGTGTATATGTGTTTAGGTAGCGGCCTTGCGACGGGCTGATCACTCGTCCAAAGGGTCCTACCGTCTGAGTAAAAACGATTACGAAACTGAAGAAGAGGCCAGGTCCAAACAAAGGGCCGTAGCCACTAATTAATGAATTAATGTACGTAATTGTCAGTATTACAGTCCGGCCGCTATTCTGTGATCCCTGGTATCAGCGCTCGGCTCTACCCATCTCGATACAGCACTGGCTGAAGTCACGCAAACGCTGTCCGCCTCGAAGCATCATATACCGATAGTTGGCGTGTTAGCCAGGCCCACTGTGACACTCGTAGGTTCTCTTTAGGAGCACTACCACACTGTTCCTGATTGCACTTTGACTCTTCGACATTTAGAGTTGAAAACCTGACAACAGTGCTACATTCTCTGGCCTGAGTTAGAGTTTTCTACAGGCAGGGGGAGACAGGAATCATGAACTCGCCTATCCAGTGCAGTTGCTGTGTTTTGGTAGAAGTTCGTTTGATTAGGACAATTTCTTACCCTCTAGAAATGAAATTCTGGTATTTCTGTAAGGTTGGTAGTATGTGAAAAGAGTTTCAGATGTGAGTAAATATAAATATACATGCACATTCGCCAAAGAAAGATTAAAGAACTACTGTTTAAGTGCGTGTTCGTGTAATGTAAATATACATGCATATAACCTGACTCCTGTGTCTCTGGCCGCGGCCTTGGCTGCACAGAAATTGCAAACTACACGCTGTCACGTGATAAGTGTAGCGAAAGGTTTTGCACATCGCCAGTTGGAAGAAACATCATGGAGCTGAGCCCTTCTTGGGGAGCCGCCAGTTGTACAGCTACTCAAGAAGTTTCCATCATTTTATGGAACCCGAAGGTTCATAACCGTGTTCACAAGAGCCCTCCACTGGCCCCTATCCTGAGCCAGAACAATTCAGTTCAAACCACCCCATCCTATCTCTCTAAGATCCATTTTAATATTGTTCACCTACGTACGTCGTAGTCTTCTTATTGGTCTCTTTTGTTCTGGCTCTGACACCAATATGCTATATGAATTCCTCTTCTCCCCTTCGTGCAACATGCCCTACCCATCCCATCCTTTACTTCATTCTAATTATACTTGGAGAAGAGTACAAGCTATGAAGCTCCTCATTATGCAGTTTTCTCCAACCTCCCATCAATTCATCTCTCTTCGGTCCAAATATTCTCCTCAGCTCCCTGTTCTCAAACACCCTCAGTTTATGTTCCTCCTTTAAACGTTAGAGACCAAGTTTCGCACCCATACAAAATACTTTATCGTCAATATTAAACACATTGCCATCGTGTCATTTGTATATTATTTGAGTTCGATTTATTTGTATATTTCTGAACTTGGAGGACCTGTGTTTGGATGAAAGGATAATATTAAAATAAATGTTAAAGGCGTAGATTTGGGGGCTGTAAGTCTGGATTCATTCAGCTTAGGATAGGGGCCAGTTGCGGGCTCTTGTGAACTCGGTATTTAACTTTTGGTTCTATAAACACGAGGAATTTCTCTACTTGCTTGCCCCAGTTGTTTAGTGGCTTTTTTTAATTGCTAGTGGGGTGGGACTAAGTCCCTTGTACTGCGGCCACTTCTGGCCTATTGTACCAGCCCCCAGATGATAGATGAAGGTGATTGTGGAGCAATTGGTGGAATGAGATTGGCAGGGGAAATCGAAGTACTCGGAGAAAACCTGCCCCAACGCCACTTTGTCCACCACAAATCCCACTTGAGCAGACCCGGGATCGAACCCGGGCCGCCGCGGTGGGAAGCCAGCGACTCACCGCTTGAGCTATGGCGCGGCCTAGTTAGTGTTGTGTTGCGGACACTTAGTGAGTTCCACGGCCCCGTCCAAAGGTAGAGTAGTGCAGTTCTGTTCATCAGAGGGCTCCGGTACACAACTCATTACCTGTACATGGGCCACGATGCTGTATGGCGACCTGTGAGCCCTGACATTGTTGTCTCATCAGGTGACACCGGCTGGCATATGTCACGTTGTCGGTGCCACACAGCGGCCGTCTCTGCCTCTCTGCCGAGGAACATGTCTGGAAGCGTGCGCTGCAGTTTTTCGTGTTCTGTAATAAAGTTATTTTAAATGTCACTTAATGTTACCGTCTGTTTAACAGCTTCATTATCTCCATTGGGGTGGATACTGAAGTTTTTACTTCATATTTGTGATTTAAAGACCGCCTCTGTGGTCTAGTGGTCGGAGGGACACGAGAAATATTTCCTGGTATATTTTCTAACTGATATTACTACATGCAAGTGGAATGGCGCCACTGTTTTCTGGCGCCAGTGTCGAAGGTGGGCGGGGCGGAGATGCCTTGACACTGTCGACGTACACATGATGCAAAACTGGTACAGGAACAGCAAAGAGAGAACTTGCGGATTTCTTGAAGACTGGTCCAGACAAGCGCAATGTCAAGGCAGTGCATCTGGTTCACTGAATTTCGCAGAACATGTAATGGTCTTCGAAGAAATGTAAGTTTCATTTTTAAATATTAAGAACAATAAAGATTACAGCGTTCCGGGATGTGACGCCGAGAGGTCAGAACCTGCCTTCGGCAGAAGGCGAACTGAGCGTGGATATTTTTTCTAATTGATGTGTTCTCCTCTGGTATTCAAATAAAAAGTGTGTAGCACATTTTATTTCCACTTATTATTATAATTATTATTGTCACGTTTAGAGATGTATGCGTGACTTATAAGACAGGGTTTATGCTGGATGATTGGATGTATTGACACCTCACACGTCCACACACTTCTGGACTACAGGCAAGACAGCGCTACCGCTATTCTGCACACTTTGCAGTTCACTGTTACACAAGCACTAGGGTTCTCAGTCTTCACTAGTCATATCCTGGCAACGGATTTATCACAACTGAAGTCTTCTTGTCCTCTCTTGCCATTTATTTTCAATCGCCTTAGCCTGCCATCCCCAAGCCTCGACCCATTTCTTGGCAACAACTCATTCAAGCAAGTCAAAGTCACATTGCGACTGACGGTTAGTCAGTAAGTGGGACTCGTGATCAAATATTTATTACTGTTTGACAGTTATGGTCTTTGTTTTTGTGGGGCGCCCTCTCTAACGAGAGGACGAGCCTGTCTTTTGTACATGCCGCTGGTCTTGGCAGCGCAGTCTTTCTCGGGTCCGAGTCCCAAGGGACTCGCGACCATGTTTTACTGTTTCAGATTTGAGACTTCATTTTTCGTCACATCCCATGACTCGCAGGGTCACGGTGGAGGTATTCGACCTCGCCTCCACACTATTGACAAACGACATTCTTCGTTCCTTTATAACCCCTCGGCACGGACCACGCAGAAAACATGGCCTCTATATTGTTAAGAAGGCTTGTTCACGTCCTTTTGTTGTGCACCTACGCATTTGCGGGAACGTGTTTACAGAGTCGTTGCCTAGAAATGGGTATATACGTCACATTATTATATTAGTTTCATCATCGTCGCCGCTGTTGTTGCCTGCTCCGGCTGTGATGACCTAAGTAGACACTATTTTTGTGTTTTTGGATGTGGAAGATGATATAGAATAGATGACATTCCTGTTTCACATTCGGAAAGTTCCGTTTAAATTCTGGGCCCGGACACCAGCCGTCATTACCGACGTTTCCATCGTTTTCCTCAGTACCTATATGGCAGTTACCTGAAATTTTCAGTTTCTCTGATCTTTTACACATTCGGTAGGACTCCTTGAACCCGGACATCAACCCAATGCAAGGCCTCTACCTACAGACAGAAAAACGCAAACACATAATAAGCGCTCGCGGACATTCATGCTCTGAGTGGGATTCGAACCCACGATCCCAGCGTCCGAGCGAGCGAAGGCAGTTCGTGCCTTAGATCGCGCGGCCACTGTGATCGGCGTTACCTGAAATTAGAGTAACAAATTGCACGTGCTCTCCAACTTATTATTCACTAATAGCACTATCATTCGATGCCACATGGTGTGCACTAGTGACTAAACTAACTCCATGAAGCTGTGTTCTTCTTGAGAAACTAACAGTTGCCCAGCTAGCCTAGAAATACACCGACTTGGGAATTTCTGCGCCGTCCGTGTGCAACACCGTTTATTGTCCCTTTATTGGAAATTAGTTCACTGCGTGTTTCGGCCGTAGTGGCCATCTTCAGGTGTACAGGTGTGGAGAAGGACAGCGCTGCCCACTGTAATGCGGGTTTCCCCGTCTTTTATGAAACCCGAAGGTTATTTACCGTGGTCACAAGAATCCAGCACAGGTCCCTATCCTGAGCCAGATGAATCCAGTCCATATCATCCCATCCCGTTTCTTTATGATCCATTTTAATATTATCCTCCGAGGCACGTCATGGTCTTGGTATTGGTTTTTATCTGAATTACTGACAGTGTCGTTAAATACAACATAAATTCTACGTCTAAAAACTGTAAATCTTTCACCTCTGTGATAACTAGTGTGCCTGTACTAGAGGTTATAGTTAAAGCAACGGCCTAGTTGCGGGCATTGAGTCTCTGGGTGGGTAGGCGAAATGTGATATTATCAAATTGTATATATCCTGATTTGCATTTTCTGGTAACGGTATAAAGTTGTCCCTGTGCTTAACTAATGAAGCATTATGCCATGAAGGCGAATGGGGGAGTGGATGTATAGATCCACGTTTTCTTGACTTCGGCGCTAGTTGGAGGTGAGCGGTCACCCCTGGGGAAAGAGCCCCGGTACCCATTGGATGAGAGGGTGGGTGGGCACCAGAACCGGTCTGGGTGACATGAAGATAAGAAAATTCTTGACCTTATTGGGACTCGAACCGTAACCCCTCTTGTCCAGCCCGTAGCGAGTCGCTGTACCGACTGCTCTATTGGAGAAGCAATTAACATGTTAAACATTAACGGGGTTCCCCTAAGAGAAATGATTTTCGCACCAAATATGGTGAAATTTGGTCAATTTGTTCAGGTCGTGTGACACATAACACACACAGAATGCTTCGCCCTCTCTGAGAAGGCAGCATCCCCGTGGTGCAGTATAATTGCATGTTCTTTGCTGTACGTGTCGTAGCGTTTCGTGTTCCTTTCTGCGGGCGAAGCAACCGGTTCCCCCTCCAGGTGTGTGTGACCACTGCAGCACGCCCTTCAAGAGAGACCGCTGTGCTGGGCGGCATGTAGAATCACATCAGCAGTGTTTACATAAAACAGTCAGCACTCGTGCTTTATATGCGAGATGTCTCAGGTTCGACTACCAACGCTCACACATCTACTTTCGTGACTGACATTCATTATAGTTTCCAGAAGAGAAAAACGATTGGGAATACCCAAGCGCAAGTGATAAAGGTATAGTTGTGTGAAACTGACCCTGTACTTAATTAATTAAGCACTAAGCCATGAAGACATATGGCGGAGTGGAGATATAGTTTCACCATTCTCGACCTCGTCTCTATTTGGAGGTGAGTGGTCAGCTACACGCCCCAGCCGCTTTACCCCCAGTACCCATGGGATAGGAGGCTGGGTGTGCCCCAGAGCCGGTCTGGACGACGTGGAAAAGAGAAAATTCTTGACCCTACCGCGACTCGAACTCCGACCCCTCGGTCGTCCAGCCCGTAGCCAGTCGGTATACCGGTTCCTCACAACCCAGGACACCTAACCAAACAGGTTGTCTCCCCATGACAGGTCCTTCTTAACTTCGTCCTGAAAGGCGGTCTCCTAGGTGAACTATATAATTCACGAAGTGAAACTTTCCGTGGATGTTAAGGATTTTGAATACCTCCTCTGCCTCCATACGCCCTCGTGGCATGATGCTTAGGCACAGAACATATACTCATTGCACTGCCCTTCGTGTTCAAGGTCACGATGTAACAGTACTTGAGGGTCAATATTTCGAAAGATCTACCATGGTGATGGAGGCAGCAGGTTGCTCCGAAACATTGATATTTATCAACAAATCTACACGGTGAACACATCTGGATACTGTTATGAGAACCTCAAGTCTCTGAATTATTTCTTTGTTATCGTATATTTGCTAAGTGCAGTGACAGTACCTGATGGTATCTGGAGGGTCTACTTAAATGCTTCGTGCTTGTACTGCTGGAACCCAAACCGGTGCACATTCCATTGTTTCCTGCCACCCCTCTCTCCTCCTCCCCCCCCCCGGTCAAGAATAGCACACGACAGGAGACAGCACTTTACCCGATATACAACAGTGGATAATCACGGTCTTGTGGGATGTGACAGACGTTTCGGAGGATCCCGCTGCCTCATGGCCATTAGAATGTCAGCTCTTGCAACCCTCATACCGATGTCTAAACATGCAGGTAACGTGAAGTTGTCCCTCTGCTTAATTAAGCACCACACTGTGAAGACGTATGGGGAAGTAGAGGTATAGTTCCGTCATTGTTGACCTCCGGACTAGATGGAGGTGAGTAGTCCGTTTCACGCCCCGTCCGCTTTATCACCTCATCTGTATCCAATTAATATGAGGCTCGGTGGACCCCAGAACCGGTCTGGACGCTGTGGAGAAGACATAGATCTATTGTCCCTGCCGGGAGTCAAATCCCGGGCTTCCAGCCGCAACTATACCGACTGAGCTATCACAGCTCTTCATACCGGTCTCCAGACTGTCGGAAGTTAAGACGATGTCATAACTCAGGAGACTGCGTTGTGAGTCTGCACGGCCATGAACATTCCAAACTTCGTACAGGGATAGGCAAGGCCACCCCTGTACTTAATTAAGCATCATTCTTTGACGTATGGGGAAGTGAAGATACAGCTCCACGCATTTTTGGCCTTGGTAGAAGATTGGGGTGAGTAGTCAGCTTGATACCCCTGTACTAAATGATACAGAGCCGGTTTGAACACTGTGGAGAAGACAGAATTATCTGCCACTGACAGGAATTGAACCCCCGTCCTCAGCCTGTAACCTAGTGGCTATACTGACTGAGCTAATGTTTTTTTTTTTATTTTTTTTTTAAATAGCTTAGTGGGGGGTGGAGTCCAACTGGGTCCACTCGGCACGGCGGTCACTGATTGGCCTATTGTAGCCTGTCCCAGGTGATTATGAATTTGGTGGAATGAAAATTGGCAGGGGAAACCGACGTGTTC